TTACCGCGTTAGCCACGTTTGTGGCATCAAAAACGAGTAGCAGTGGCTTGTTGCGCCTCAGTCCTATGGCGGTTGGACGGACGAGGTTCAGTAGAGCGAACTGAACTGTGTCCCTGTTGGGACGTCCGTTCTCCGTCACAAGAGCTTGATAGCTCTGTGATGTGACCACTTGCTTCAAGAGAGATGAGGGAACGAGACCATGCCTCAGAATCGGCGCGAGGGCCTCTAGGTCTGTGGCATGCATGATGTAACACCACTCGTCCTGTTGGACGTCAGCCCTCTGCCTGCACCATGGAATCCCGACTTCAGATACCGCTTCACAGTCGCGGACTTCTTTGATCTACGTCATGATGTTCGGCTTTTCCCAGCCGATGCGAAGCTGCTTTGGACGCTGCCGCGCTGAGCCTTGCACGGCGAGTCTGAACGATTCCTGAAATCTGAATGCATGCATCTCCTTTTCCATAGGTGTTCGTCTCACTTAATTGTGGGGCGTGCATGGCGATTCCTCCACCTATGTCTTTGTGCTGTGGCAGTTGCTGTTTGGGCCTTGCTTAAACCGAGATTCCTGATGCTTTCAGATCTTACATCTGCGATTTCCGCCACTGCACAAAACATAGGGCGAGTGGAGCGAGTTCGGTATGTGATGGTTTATATATTTGATTGGAAGCCTATTTGATTACACTTGAATCATATACTTTTTGCTTTTGCTTTTGATATACCGATATCTTTTAGCACGTCGCTGGAACTTTTGAGCTATGCCTTTGGGGGGAATGCAAAATGCGTTTTGTATTTGAACGGTCATCGTGTTTACTCGATCCTGTTTAAATATTAAACCATTTTTGCTTTTGCCTGCGGGCTTGTTGGCGATTTTGTATTCCCTCCTTTTGCATGCGGCATGCCATGTTTGCTTTGAGACCTTTCGCATTGTTATCAGATGCCGCAGCGAAGCCGGCTCACGAGTGAGCTTTGCGTTTTTGATTTGCCCACCCTCCACTCCCTTTTTGTGGGAGCCGGCTATCCTTATGCATCTTTGCAGCTGCTTGCGCGTTTAGGTGCGGTCGATCTTTTGGATCTTATATCTTCCGCGGACCACACGTCGTTGCGGTCGATTCAGGATGAATCTTTTATGGTCACATGCTGGCGCTTTTCTTCGGGGACAAAGTCCCTCAAGGTGGTTTCTTGGTTTATCTGGGTCCAAATGGGCCTTGCTTAAACCGAGATTCCTGATGCTTTCAGATCTTACATCTGCGATTTCCGCCACTGCACAAAACATAGGGCGAGTGGAGCGAGTTCGGTAGGTGATGGTTTATATATTTGATTGGAAGCCTATTTGATTACACTTGAATCATATACTTTTTGCTTCTGCTTTTGATATACCGATACCATCCCACCTGGACAGGAAATCAGCGTCCTTGTTACGCTCACCCGCGATGTGTTGCACATCCAAACTGATCCCCATGCGAGTGCTGATCATCGCCACAGTTGGGTAAAGAAACAAAGAGGTGACTTTGTCGTCAGAAGCTTCGCACAAACAGACTCTGCACCAGAATTGTCGCAGAAAGATAGCACGCAAATCCTCATACGCCCGCCAGGGCACAGGTGCCCGAAGAGAAGCATGAGGCCCACTTGAGCTAATGTTTCCCAGCAAGAGATATCCTTCTGCGATTCGGCATGCAGCGGAAGTTCCAAGTGCTTGAAGTCGGCCAGATCATAACGCTCGGAAAACCACAAAGAATCCGAGCCAGGCAAAGTGATGAAACCGCCAATGCCGATCGAAGATCCTTGAGCGCAAGCGTCAGCAGCCATAATAGCCATAATAGCATCAAGAGAGCGCTGAGGAAGCATTAAACATTCGTGGAATTGGTGAGAGCCGCACCAATCAAACCAGAATTGCAAAAGGCGCCTGCTCAGCACCGATAAGCGCCGAAAGCGAGATTGAGGATCAGCGATCCTCATCCACACCCGCTTCGAAGTGAGCGGAACCTTATCCAGATCCGATTTTTTCCACAGTTCGATGTGCCGAGCACTCAACAGCTTGGACCCCACTGGGATAGCTGTGCCTGCTGGAGTGGAGATGAAAACCATTGCATCCGACAAGCAAGGAGCCAAAGATCCCCACCGAGATGGCTCAATGGAAAAAGACGTCCCCGGCGGCCTCGAAATGTCATCATACAGAGAAGAAAGCCAAGGGCGAAGCTCCTTGTGAAGTTGCGTGATCCAATGAAGAAGGCCCAACGCTTGTTGGATCAGCTTAAGCTCCACTCGGCCCGCCACCAGGAGTGGATTCAGCAGGCCGCGCAATTTCAATCTTTTAGACTCTGGAACTCGAACCGTGCCAGCCCTATAAGACAACTGCCATCCTATCCAAAGACAGTCAGAGCCTAGTTGTAATTTTGGCCACGACAACCTAATACCGAAAGCTGCTGCAAAGGCGAGAAGCAGACAAGCGGAGATGTCCAAGGCACCAGAAGCCATGGCCAATATCAAATCGTCCACGTACATGGACATGAAGTGAGCCAAGAACACCAGAAGATGCCATGTTCGCATGAAGAAGCCTGAAAGACGCTGCCACCAGTAGGCTGAGCAGCTCATGCCGAAAGGCATGACCCGGTAGAAATATGTCTTGCCGTTGCAAGTGATGCCAGATAAACCACGGTCCCTTTCCTGCATGAGAATGGACTTGTGCGCCGCCTTAATGTCTAGACTGAAGGAGCGAAGCTCGGACACTTGACCTCGAAGAGGATAGCTGGATTGCAAGTCGCCCAGGCCCGGCAAGTTGTAGCGTTCCGGAATGTGGCAAGCCGGATTCACGCCAGATATTGTTTCATCAACCGTCAAGCGAGGGTTTTTGTCCGGCACAATCACAACGTTGAGTTTCCCAATGGCAACCTCTGGCCACCTGGACCGAGCCTCCTCAAGTGTGACTTCTTCCAAGTAGCCGTTATCAAGTTCTTCTTGTATCAAGGACTCCAGGGTTTCTGGATTCTCGCGAGCTCCCTTCCAATTCTCTTGGCACTCAAGCAAAGGTTGCTCCTCCGAAGTCTGCACCTCAGGCGCAGGAACAAGAACACCGCTTCTCGGGATGTCTTTGAAGTAACCAGTGGGCGCGCCCGATTGGAGGCACGCGAACAGAGTGTCGTCGGGATCTTCCAGGGCCTCTGACAGCTGCTGTAGCGCATTGAGTGTGTATGGCTGAAAAGGTTGAACCGACCAGTCCACCGGACGGCCAGTTGTAGCCACCAAGAACTCTGAAAAGATGGCCCGAAAGCTTTCAATCTCACCCTCAGAAAACAATGGAGAATCCGACCTGGCAAGGACATGTTCTCGCAAGCGAATAGGGGCCTTCAGCTCAAACAGCTTCTGAGTCAGAGCATGCCTAACTTGTTGAAGTCTGTCAACTGTCCCATTCGGGGGAAAAGACCAGTCGGGGACTGAGTAGATGCCAGCCCCATCTTGATGCGCGAAAGGCATGTCGAAGCGACCTTTAGCAGGGATTAGCTGATATAGCTGAGACAGCTGGGCATCCAAAGGATTTTCGCGTGTCGAAAACAATGGGAGAGCGGCCGATACGTAAGCCTCCGCAAGCTTCGCAGGGAACTCTGATGTCTGTTGAGAGGCATAACCGCCGGACTCATGCCGAACCCCAGCGACAGGACGATGAGAGCCCTCGGCATGTGTACAATCCTTCGCCAATCGCTGCACATCCCGAAACGTGGTAGCGAAAGCCCAGCGTTTCGAGATGTCCCAACCGTAAGCGCAAGCCGCTACCACAAGCACATCGGCATTGGCCTTCTGAAGAAGAAGGCGGACCGGTTCTTCAAGCCAAAGCATGCTGTTTGCCGGATTTTCAAGGCTAAAATGTCCGCCAGCCTTGAAGGTGGCGTGCAGAAGCTCGACGGCCCGCTCCATCAAAGTCCGGCTGGCGTCCACTCGCTCTTGTTCGGAAGAAGAAAGACCTGGGACCTGGGACCCCTGCCAAATGTTCAGGGGTTCGCAAAGGCTTCGGACCAGGCCGGATAAGCTTGCACCTGGAATATTCCCGGCACGGTGGCGATGCATGAGCCGACGTGACCGCTCCCGAGTAGCTCAATCGCAAAAGAGGTTCAAAAACCGAGTCATCCAGAAGATCATGCTCTGAAGCCAACATTGTATCCACCGAAAGAACAGATACCCCAGCTTGCAAGAAAGCAGACGATAGTGGCCGAGCATGACCAACAAAACAGATCCAGGAAAAGATTGCCTCGCACCTTGGAGAGATCAAGCACTGAAGGCGGTGCAGGAAGGATCCCTGCCCCAGACGATCCTGAAGCGGCCGCTTGGCATCAAGAATCTGGCAACGGAAAATGCAAAGCCCTCAGCTGCTGCAAATCAGTCGCCGAGACTCCCGGCAGTTGGGCCGAAGTATAGGCTGTCAGGACCCACCGGTCCCCAGTCCAAGGCTCCGAGCAGTGAGGTAGAGAGCCGTCAAAAGAGATCCCCGACCTCCGAGTGTTGAAAATGCAACCGCGCAATGTTTGATCAGCCTGAGCGTCCGTGGGAGGAACTCGAGGATGCTCCGGAAATGCTGAATCCGCGACTTGAATCCAGAGACCCCCTTTGTCGAAAGCTCCCAAGCTGCACGAGTGATTCAAAGAGCCTGGGGCGTTGAAATCCGAATGAAGATGAGCGAATTCGTTGTGCGATACGCAGAAACTAGACCACGTCCCATTAGGGAAGACTGATTGTAAGAAAAGATTTACGTACTCCACCAGCTTGGGGTTTTCCAAGGTGAAGCGACAAAGGCCGCCAAGGGAGCCCGAGCGTACCCCGGCGTTGAAGTAGCTAGCATGGTTCCGGCCACCATCCAGAACCTTTGTCCGAAGCAACTGAGTTGACCCTGGACAGTGCTGTTGCAAAACGGAGAGACATGTCTCCCAATCCAAATCTTGCTGAGAGCTGCTGTGCACCATCTCCGCGGCATCAAACCTGCCCGTCCTGACATCAGAGGAATCATCCGAGAGTCAGTGAGGCATAGCCTTATGCTGATGCGCCGGGTGCTTGCCCAAGCAGGGTCTGCCGTCCGGGCGCGGTACAGGACACAAATGCTCAAATTTGCAATCCGTGAAGGAGCAGCCCTTTGCCGAAGAGTAGTCCCGGCACAGGAGACGAGTCTTGCCTTTGTCCTCAAACTTCGTGATCCATTTAGCACCAGATTGACCAGTCTGACCACCATTCGCGCCCCGACCCTTGCCACCTCCCTTCTGCTTGCCTTTGCCCCCAGGAAGCTTTCGAAGACCAGGTGGGATATCAAACCGCTTGGGGACCGCCACCCGGGACTGCAGCAACGAAGCCATATCCCCTCTGATCTCCGTGTACTCTGTCAGAGCGTCATCCAAGGACCAGCCATGAAGATTGACCAGATCGGCCATCTGGCACCATAGCTGACGATCTGCTTGCATGATTTCCTCAGCGAAAGGATTGCGAATGCCTGCCTCGCATTTCTGGGTCGCCAGTTTGATAAACTTGCGTTCAAACTTGCGAAGGCTCGCCAGGTGCGCGCCCTGAAGCATCGCTACGGCCACTGAAACCAAGCCCAAGATGCCCGAGAGATAGTTCGCGCCAACTGCTCCAGCCGGTATGTCACGCTGGGGCACGTCGTCGTATATCAGCTCTTCTAACCGCGGCACCTTAGCTGGGCGCCTCAAGGCCAGGGAGTCTTGTTGGGCCTGACTCATCCTGAGTTTCCACGGGATCCACCGCAGCTCTCCTTTTTGAACGACCTTAGCCACATAGGCTAGCAACCTGGCCGACGGATAATTGTCGGGATCTAAGATCTCTCCAGGGTATCGGGCGTGAAATTGTCTCTGAAGAGACATCACACGCTCGCCTGAAAGCTTCGGAGGGAACTGTTCAGACCAGCTTGATGTAGAAATCCCCGCCGTGATGTCGTTCTCATCTTGGCGTTTGCCCTGACGAGCCACCGACGACTGCTGACGGCAAGTCTCGTAAAGCAGTCATAACGAAGACAGAAGAAGCAGGCGCTGAGCCGTAGAAGGAGGCTCCACAGCGCCCTCCAGAAGATCCTTGAGCGCCTCATCCAAAGCTGAGGAATCAGCCGCAATGCAGCCGAAAAGACTCACATCAAACCCTGCAAGAATCCCATGGTAATCTGGTGGGACTTTGCACTGATCCGCCAAGGCCACCAAAGCTTCATTCAGCAGCTGAGGCGGAGCTTCCGGTTCGCCATCCGTCATCGCCCTAGACAACGGTAACCAAAAGAAGCCAGCTACAAACCTGCATGAACAACTGGTGCCGGAGCCGGCCAGCCAAACGAGACCATGGGAAGCAAACTCACACACAACGTCAGAGGCAGCGCATCTGCCAGGACTGCATGTAAGCCGATGTACCCTGATGGGCTGCCCAAGACACCCTAAGCCACCCGGGCAAGACAGCAGTGCAGCTCGATCACAGCACAATAGCTCCAAACCTGCCGCACGCTGAGGAATCATTTGCCGCAACAAACCTTGAACGTACTGCAGATACACGCTTAACCAGTGCCTTTTCTGACATCCAAAATTGCTGCAAGGTGTGCAACTCTTCAGTCCCGGATGTGTACCGATCGCCCTTGCGCAGAAACAGTCCCCTCGATGCCCGGCTCGCTTGCCGTCGCATGCGAGGATCGCCATACCCGACCGTGCAGTGCGCGAAAGAATTTGCTGGATGACTGAAGCTGCACCAGCCGCCTCCCTATGACACAAAAATCGCCTGACATGCTTTATGTCGGCAAAAGCGAGGATTCGACGGGAGCTCAGGCCTAATCTGCATATTGTGCGCCAAGGTGCCGCATCTCGGCTTGACCCGAACTAGCTCACCGTCTTCGCGCTTCACCAAAACCCCATCACACCCGGAGCAGGGAGTAGCAGCATGAATGATGCCAGAAGATGTCTGAACCCAAATCTGTTCATCAGTCCATGGAGACATTCGTCTCCTGAGTACTGCAAGATATCAGTGAGCAGGGAAAGATGCGATGCATACGAATCCCGGCGCAGAAACCTTGCCATGCATGAGGCAAAGGTCTCGCAAAACTCGTACGGATACACCTGTGCCAGCTTAGTTTTGAGACCGTAGCCTTGAATACCCATTTCACCTTTGGGTGAAGAAGTTGGAGATTTCGGCTTGGGACAATTCCTATGTATCGGAGTTAACACCTGCTGTGGCAGGTTATGCATGAAGATCGACGATCTTGACTCATAGTATCCTTTTGGATCTTGCATGCCATAGGCCTGTAGATTGCACACTTCATAGCTAACCTTTCGGTTAGAGAACAACCGTTTGGCCTCTGGCGTAGACCAGAGTTTGCTGTAATAAGGATTCTCTAGAACGAAGTATCGTCCAAGTTTCATCTGGTGATCTGCTATAGATTCACAAAACTTAAGAATCGAAAGTCTCTTGTTAGAGCCTTTCTTCCATTGGGAATACCAGCTAGACCATTGTGGGAATGGTCTGGAGACATCACAATGATGGTAGGTTCTTGTTCCTTGATGATTCTTAGAAGTTTTGAACGGCCTTGAGGCTGTTCAAGATCTAATCCACTACGCAGGTCTATTGGCTGTCCTACTCTTAATCCTGATAGGGCAGCCTTGTGACTCATACGAGGTGATCCTCCGTAGAGCTCTAGGAAATCAATTTTTCCTGAACTAGTTACCTGCCAGTGGCACTCCTGATGAGGTATTGTTAGATCCGATGAGATCAAGGAAGCATCAAAGGTGACCATGCAGCTGGCATGGTCTGAACCTTCAGATGTGAGGGTTTCCTCATCTGGTGCAAGGGGAATCTCTACATCAGATGTGATGTCATAGTTCTTTCTCAGTTTTGAGATGTTCACACGGACGATCCGGGTGCCGAGATCAACACCTACCATAGATCCTCCGAGTTCGGAGATAACTTTTCCTTTAAGCCAAGATCCATGTTTGGATCCGGTTGATCCGATTTTCGATTTATCCTCGGACCAATAATAGACCTTGTCTCCTAAAGAGAAGGGTCCTTCAGTCATAGAGAGTCGAGACGCGAGATCTCTTCTGAGGTCATCAGATTGACGTGCCTCTTGGTAGGCCTTGTTGGCAAGCTCCTTGATAGCTCTTGCTGTGATCTCAGTATCGGTAGGATTACCGGTTAACTGATTGGGGTCTGCGTTCTCAGGTGTTATAACATCTCGAGGACGTCTACCGAAGGCCATTTCTAGAGGAGTTACTCCTCCGTATGTAATTGAGGAGTTTCTTGCCAAGCATGCCTGACGCACTAAGTTACCATACTTCATAGTGATACCATTATACTCTGGATCACCATCCTTGAGAATCTGAAGTATGATCTTAATCTGATGTTTCAGTAATCGTACGGCTGCCTCGGCCCTGTTGGGCCATGGTGTGCCAGGACCTGTGGCTACAGGTTTGATGTTCTGCCGATTATAATAGGCCTCCATTTTTGGAGTCACGAAGGCTTGATCCCCAACAACAACCTTTGGGTTGATTTGATATTTCTCAAAATAGTCATTCATGATGGACATTGTGGTATGTTCCTCCTTATCCTGAACAACCTCAGATGTAAGGAGGTTTGTCGCTCCATCATAGAGTATGAGAAATATGAGTCGGCTAGACTTGCCAGGAATTGGCAATTCACCATGGTCTACGAAAGTTAGATCTCCGAAAGTTTCGGATCTTAGACCTGATATCTTTGCCCTCGAAGGAGCTCGTTTGTGTTCCTGACAAGCTGAGCACTTCTTGACCAGTTGGTCATAGAGCTCGTAAATTTCCTTTGGAATCTGAAGAGCCTTTGTCCTTCTTTTGAACTGATCTGTGTTCATGTGACGATGCTTCAGATGAAGCTTGTAGAGTTCAACTGGATCCTTGAGCTTCTCGTGAATCCTACGAAGGGCAATCGGGAGAGAGGGTGCTGGTTACTGCTGGTTCAGACACAATCTCTTCTCCGTGGTCTCTCTCACCTGCTGGTGAGTCGGTCCTAGGAGCAGGGTATTCTCTTGACTCAAGTGGTTCTACCTCCGTCCCGTGATCAGCTCCTGGGACAACAGATCTTTCCTCCACTGGAGGTTTGACTGAGTATTTCTTCTTCTTAAGAAGATTTTTAAGACCCCTTGGAGTCTTTGCCCTTCCTGGCGGAAGCTCAGGTTTTTCTTCAGAAGGAAGTTCTGATGGTTCCAAAACTTCTGGAGGTTTGTCTCTTGAACCTGATGCTGGTTCCGATGATTCGGCAGGCTCAGGTGCGTCACCAGATGGTTCTGGTGGATCAGACCTTCTAGCAGAGGATTCTGCGGGGTCTGGTGGAGGTTCCTTCTTTTTGCCTGGAATGCCCTTGGGTGGAGGATCTGCTGCACCTTCCGGTGCTTTATCACATCCCTTCAGGAGAGTGTGAGGCTTCTTCTGTCCTGCACAGGCGGGACAGCGACCTTCAGGGATCTTTTTGTAAGATCTCCTATCTTCCTTTGGCTTCTTAGCTCCTAAGGCAGTTTCTGTTACTTGAAAAGAAGAACCGGGCTTAGGATTATACTTCCTTGTGGAAGTGAAGCTCAGAAGATCTAGCACCAAGTGATTATTGGTACTGATCGGTAGGGGGGTCTTGTAAAGACCAAAAGCTTCACACGTTGCAAGATCCGCGGTCGGACTGCACTCAAGGGTCATTCTGAGATTCCTCATCTGTTCAATGGAAAATAGAATGGGAACCTTGCCTTGATCGAGCACCTCTATGGTAGTATCCCGTCTGGGAGTTGTGTTAAACCACAAGGTTACACGCTCCTTGATAAGAGCTGTTTCACTATCTGCAAATGAGAACTTCGTGTTCGAAGGTGAGAAAGTGAAATCAATCATGCCTGGAGCATGTTGCTTAACGGCCTTGATAAGCCGATTCACCGCATAGCGGGATCCCATGGCCCTGTACAACCTGAGTCAAGAATGACAAAGGTAGGGCTTCGATCAAGATTGATCCGCTCTGTCAGAGCAGATAGGACGGTGTGCTGCAACGGAAACACTGCCGTTGCAGTCTCCACACCTGGCCCTTGACGTTCATCATGCGCCAAAGGCAGATAACTCTCTGAGGAGTTGTACACGGTATCATGGTGCGCGCTCGGATCTGTGCCTCTACCTGATGATCCTTTGTTGTTCCTTCTCGTCTTTTTCCGTGCTTTCCGTTTTGAGGCATGTGCATAGTATGTGTAAGACGTATTTTCGTCGTAAGCGGCATAATTCCAACCGGAGTCAGTATAATAACTGTCCTCGTACCATGAATCCCAGCTCGGTGTGGTGGATCCTTCATAGGCATGCGGAGATGCTGTTTGATCTCCTTGTAAGGAGGCAGACTTGGCTGTATCCTTACCTTTGCCCTTTCCTTTTGTGCCTTTAAAAGAGCTTCCTTTGTCTTCCTTTCCTTTTCCTTTCCATTTGCCTTTTCCACCCTTGCCTTTATCTTTTCCTTTTCCCTTACCGAAAAAGCCGGAATCGGTTGGATCATGTTCTGCCTGGTTGGCTCTCCCTTTTCCGCGGTATGACCTGAAACGGCCACGTCCTTTTCGCTTGCCACCCTTTGCTCTTCCCGGTGATCCGGGACGCATTCTTGGTCTCCTTCCTTTCTTAAATCTCCTTGCAACGAAGGCCTCATGGTCATCCACTGTCCAGAAGACAGCTTCCTCATCTTCAGCGGCAAGAAAACCTTCCTCAAGGGTGTCTTCATCTTGGAGCCAGAATCCATCGACTCCGTCGTATTCACCCTGATCGAGGATGAGGAAGTTTCGGCCTCCGCGTTTGCGGCGTTGGTCTCTCCGTCCATGTCGGTCCTTCTTGTGAGAGGTATGCCGAATGTTGGGATCCTGCAGACCAGTTCTGGTCGTCGAAAACTGATCGAACATGGTCTGCCGTACTATGGGGTACGTGTAGGTCTCAACTCGGTAACCTTGGTTGGTCAATGCTGATACCAACCTCTCACGTTGTGTCTCATTCAGGTCGGACTGCACTAGAAACAGGAGAGCTAGGAGATTATCATTCAACGGAAACGCTCTACGATGCACATCAAGGCGTTCCTTGTTCCACGTCTCAAAATAACGTGCGGCGAATACTTCCTGCTCGTTAGCATCTTGAAGGCGAATGAAGGTTGGATCTTGGCGTACTGCAGCGAGAAAGTCAGGGTTGGCATCTTCCAGATTTATCTCTGGTAAGAGATCCATCCAAGAATTTCTCAGGCGCTGCGACAC